GGCAAGGTTGTACCAATGAGTGGTCAAGTCATAAAAAATAGTGAATGTTTAAGTTATCTCGGGTCTATTGTTCAAAGTGATGGTGATATAAATCCCACTGTTATTAGTAGAATTCAAGTTAGATGGTTGAAGTGGAGGAATGTATCGGGTCTATTGTGTGATAGAAAAGTACCGCTTAGACTTAAAAGAAAATTTTATAGCAAGGGGTGAGTTCTACAATGTTTTATGGAGCAAAAGTTTGGTTTGTAAAGAGAAGCATAAAATTAAGTGTTAATGAGATGAGAATGGTCAAGTGGATGACTAGTTTTACACTTAGTGTGCGTTTGGGGCGGAGGTGTGGTAGTAATGTGCTGTCGCACCGTACTTTTCTATGATTGACAAAACTGCATTTTGCTTGTTTTTTCCTAAGGCTACAGCTGAAAGCTGTGTTTTGCAACCTGACTTGACTAAGTGCAGTGACTGCTAAAAAACTGCGATCTAACTTCTTGAAAAAAAAATTATAATAGCCATCACACCTTTTTTAACATTAGCTTCTTTTGCAAGAGCTTCACAGCTACTTCTACAAACATTTGCAACTACCCAAAACAGACCCTTAGAGACAACATGAGAAACAAATATATCCATGAAATGGTTGGAGTAACTCCCGTGGTAGAAAAAATTTGAAAGAGTCCCCTTAGATGGTTTGGCACATTAAACGTCGACCATCTGATAACCTTGTTATAAGAGTAGATGTTTTAAATTTGACTTATGCTAAGAAAGTTAGAGGTATACCTAAAAAAACTTGGGCATGCTATATAAAAAAACTAACCTTAATTTATTAAAATTCAATGAAAATATGACACTCAATTGTACACAATAGAGAAAAAGGATTCATGTAGTTGAAACTACTTAGTCGAATAAAATCTTGTTGTTGTTATTATTGTTTTTAATTAAAGATTCATACACTCATCATAGGAGAGGCAAGCAAGAAGGGCTTGCATTGATGAATTTTTTTCAAACCCTTAATCTTCAAACTCATAAGTTTTGCCCAATTCTAATTAATGTTACAGGGAGCAGTCAGGCATGCATCATAAAACAAGCAAGCCATCAACGTGACAATCTTTTTTCAAGGAAAAATTGACTTCATGTTACAGTCCCATCTGGTGATGAATTATTAGCTCCCCAATCCGTCAGGCCTCAATGCATAGCATCACCAAATTCTAAGCACCTCATCATAGCCAGATAAGCATCCATACCAGATTTGGAGAATCGGATGACTAACTTACCCAACTAAGCCGATCAAATACAATGCATTGACCCAAAAAACAAACCTCTCTAGCATTCATATCAGATCTATTCAAGATTACACCTAAGTCCAATATAATATGTTTTGTGGGCAGTCAGATGAAAAATAATCATGTTATTGAGTATAGTTACATCCAAATGAGTTGAGATGCTCCAGCCTGATGCACAAGAACTTGCTGACAATTCAATATTCTATCCCACTTAGATCGAAAAGGTTGTTATTGGCATGCCTAATTCATTTGGCGCATGTCGCATGTCGTCAAGACATTCCACGATCTATCATTTTTCACTCTATAACCACCAAACTTAAGAGTTTGTCAAATCTCTCTCGCACTATTATCCACCTTGGGACTGCATCCAACCAACTTGATGCTCATAAATAAACCCACTTATGAGACTTCCAGTGAGACGAACACAAGGACATATAACATACTATCATATCATAGAATAACAGAGTAATAGAGTGCTATGGATGAGTAACTAATAATCTCCATCATTTTTACTTAGTAGAACCCACTTTCATATTTTCCTACGATGGGTGTCGACCAACTGATCGAAAGCTCAACCTCCCAATCAAACACTAAACCACACCACCCCTTATCCTTCTTGTAAATCAATCATGCCTCACATCCTTTCCATTCGTAAATCTCAAAGAATGATTTCAAGTCCTTTGCTTCTTTTGGTACTATAGATAAAATAGTTTAAGCTGGTTGAAAACTCAATGAAGGAATGTCCTAATTCTAGTAGTCAACAGTATCGCAATTATTTTCACCTAATGCCTCTAGGCAACAATGGAGGTGAAGGATCATCTTAGCTAGTAAAAATAGTTGTGACAATGCCGCAATTCATGGATTTATTTAGCAAGGTAGGCCTTATTTTGCTATTAAATTTCCACCAAATTGTTCCTTCTCCACTTGTAATAGTAGCACAAGTAACCATCTCTATAAAGTCTCCAAACATCATATTAGAAAGACCCACCATGTCATTGATGATGCACCAGCCAGCTGCTGTCATAGTCCTTACCTCTTAGGGCCATAACCAACTATGAAGCTTTCCCTGAAATATTCAACACACAATCACCATCATCAAATTCATGACACAACGGAGCCTCACCTTTCACATCAACAATTCCAAAAGAGCCATTACTAATGAAGTTTAAAACTCCCCTGTGCCCAATCTATATAAATGGTTAAGCAAACAACATTAAGCATTCAAGAAACTTCAATGGTGTCATGACCCAGGTGTAAAATATGTAAAACCTCTAGTACCAAGTGTAGGATCCTTGAAGCTTTAAAAAATGGTTTATAGAGATTAAAGATTTTCATCTCAAAATCCTTTTTTACAAGTAATGTAGATATTTTTACTCTAAATTTTGGATGCCCAAGTGTAAGATACTTGAAGCTTTAAGAAAATGGCTTATAGGGATTAAAGATTCACATCTCAAAATCCTTTTTTTATAAGCAATGTAGATATTTTTATTCTACAATTTGCAAGCCCAAGTGGATTTATTAAGCTTCTCTATAGTATGTTTAGGATGCTATTATGTATGTTTCTCGCCTTCATGTGTGAAATTTTTCAGCGCATTTCAGTTATTCTAAGATTTAGTTCTTTGTGAATTTATTTTGAAACAACCGTGAATGTTAAGAAAGTATGGGTGAACAAATGAAAAGTTCTTATTTTTTCATTGTTATTTTTCTTATGTTATAAATGCTTTGGACCACTTTTTTTAAACTTTTCTTCAAATTTTTATGAGGTTTTTGGTTTTATATCCAAGTATGAAGATCCTTTTATGCAATTTGAGAGGTGTTATTCCAGTTCCTACTTAACACTTTTTGATGATTTAAGACGCTGTTATCAATTTTTACTTTTAAAACTTGTGGATGACTGCTTGATAATTCTCTGATTTCCAATCATCATTGACCAAGCTATAGAAAAACTTTACTTAATAAATAACCTCTAGCTATAATCAACTTGTCATACCAAATGTATTGAGAACATATATTGGGTGCTGATTTCTATGTGAATTCGAGGTATGAAGCTTCTATTTTTTACCGTTTTGGTTGCCCAATTTTGAAGTTATTTATGGCTTTAACCATTTTCTGGAAATGGCGTGGGTATCAAAATGGATATATTTTAAACTTGTAAAAAGATAGAACAGCTATTCCTGAATGGGCAACCCCTTCGTATGAAAAAGAATATAGAAAGTTCAACTTATTTAATCGATAATTTTCTTTTTATCCAATTTTCATATGATCCTTTAGTTCAACTCACTTAAATCTAACCTGCTTAAATATTATTCTATCATATGTGAGCACTATTTACTTTACTTTTTGTTTTTTATTCAACTTTTTCTTGTTTCTACTTTCTCTCCCATGAAGAAACCATTTTTTTTATTTGGATTACTAGTCATTTCTAAATTCCAACACATTCCATAAAAAAAAAAAAAACTTTTTATTTTTAACAAAGTTGAGTGTTGAACCTGATTCAATATCAAGGCCTTGAAAATAACTTTCAAAGCCTTTAACAACTAAGCCAGTTAATATTCTAATGCCATGAGAACTTATTAAATGGATGATTTGAAAATTGAAAGTACAGTGAAGCTAATTCTATAGCAAATAAATCAGAAACTTATATCTAAAAGAACTCCAAGTCATCAATAACTGAGACTGAGTCTGATCAGAAAGTTATTGTGGTGTTATGAAAACTATTTACAAGCATTGCATTCGATTATCAAAACATAAGTCACGAATAGAATAAACAATGTAGGGGGGGGCGGGGGGGACATTTAAAAGAATCATTCACATTAAGATACTTAGCAAATCAACCAAACTTATAGCATTCTTCATAAAAGTTTCAAATTGAACAAATGAAAATTCAACTTAACATGCATCGCCAGAAATTTCTAGAAAGCAACAAGAAATCAATAGCCAAATGCAATGTCTATGGAGGTCTATAATGCAACGTACTAAGAAAGTTGTCTCAAGCAGACCCTTCATCTCCCACCTCTTCTCTTTTGAGGCATTCATTCAAGGACATAACGCCCTTGCTAATAAGTAATCCTAGTTTACGTAATGATTTCTAACTGATACAAATAATATCTAGATGAACTTTTATAGATTCTGCTAAAAAAATTGCTACTAATTGCTTATGACAATTAAGTCTAACTAGGTGAAATATCATCTTATTACATTCCAAACAATAAAATGATCTCCTAAATAAATGAAAAGAAAAAGGCACAATAAAAAATTGTATTGGTAAAGTTAAGTAGTTTAAGAGGAAGGAAAATATTGATTTATCTAAAATTAACTAGCTAATCATCTAACTTTCAATAGCACCAAACATCATAAAATTTCTAATGAGAAGAAACAAATCCATCCAAGAAAAAACATTTTGTAAAGCAAGGAAAAATAAAAACGTAGAAACCAAAACTCAGACTTCTCTAATAGTCACTCCGGAATCAACTTGTCCAAAATCCAATCTATATTTAAAATTAGATTTATGTGGAAACTAAAATTTAGAACAAAAAAGAATTCTTTAAGAAATCAAGAAAAATCCACACACACACAAACGCACATACATTCCATCCTTTGATTTGACAAGTTTCACATAGATAATTATAAGATATAAGAAACACATGAGGGAGAACAGATCTACATACCATTTCATTAAATCAAATAATCCCAAACATTGCAAACATTAGAAAGGATTTCACGTACCTATTCAACTGGAACATTTGAAATTTGACTGATATATTCATCAAAGAATTGTGCTTTTTCACTCAATTTGTCAATTAATTCCTCCGCAACCATATGTATTGACTTGGGCAAGTACTCCTCCATTCTATCAAACCATTCCTCCAGAGTCATATTATTCCAATTATCCTCCAGCTTCTCAACCCTAGAGTTAATTTCTCCATCCAAAGTTAGCAACTCTTCCTCAGCTCCAGCATTGTTCTCTTTTGATGTGGAATCCATATTATTCTTCAGCTCCTCAACCCTATTATTATTTTCTCCATCCACAGCTACCACCTCTTCCTCAACTCTAGCATTATTCTCTTTTGACTGCTTCTCCTTTTCCATCACATCTACAAACTCTGAATTTGATATAATCGAAACATCCTCCTCTTTCGACTTGTTTACAAAAACCCTAATTGAGCCACCCCTAGCCGAAGACCTCGTAACCCTAGGTTCCACCAGAACCGACTCGGAAACCTCATCTTTCGTCGAAAACCGAGTAGATCTTCCACGCTTTCTTCCTCTCCCCCTCGCTCTATGTCCCATCTTCGACGCTTCATCCTCAGCCAACTCCTTATCCTCATGTTTTACCTTCGGCGGCCTCGGCGGCCGATCACATCTAGGAACCACAAGCGTTTGGTGCACAGGAGGGGAAATATTAACGTAGATAGAGGTGTTCTCGCCGATCTTGATCACGTCGCCGTCTGATAGAGCGGAGGGTTGCTCGGGGGAAATAAGGGAGCCATTAATGTGGGTGCCATTCGAGGATCCGAGGTCTGTGACTACCCAGCGATTGAATTCAGGAAGAAAGCCAACGGTGAAATGCTTCTGAGAAATACCGGGATCCTTAATGGCGAGAGTGTTTCCCCTTGCCACTCGTCCAATGCGGATTACGGTTCCTGGGTTGCACGCTAGGGTTTCCCCTGCCTTAGGTCCCTTGTTGATTGTGAGACCGAGGGTTGAGCTCGGCATAGAAGGGGGAAGACGCGGAGCCCTGCCCATGGTTCGAAGTGCAGAGGAGACTAGGGAAAGCTGCAGTGAAGAACGAGAGGAAGTGGAAACGGTCACATTTGATTTCGATTTCGATTTGAATCACTTTTAGGAGAAAAATTTGCATATATCCGTTTTTAATTTTCTTTCTTAAAAAAATTAATAAAAGTGAGATCCACTGTAATACGAGAAAAATTTACATACGTAAGACGTACATAATTTTGCGTATGTCGTGAGTACGTCATTATTTAGAGGGTATTGGAGGGTTATACCCCTGTAACCTCGCTGTAATCAACTTGTAACCTACCTATACCCTTTAGTAAGTTTCGCGCTTCTGTTTTCATATATTTATAGGTTAGAAGTAGGTTACATGTAAGTTTCAGGTAGGTTACAGAGATGTTACAGAGATGTTACAAGAGGTATAACGCGGATATAACCCCCCAATACCCTCAGAATAACCTCTCTGACGTATGCAACGTTGTGTACGTCTTACGTAAGCAAATTTTTCCTGTGCCATACAGCCTTTGTTTGGATGAGTTTTGATGTGTGGTTGCGATCGTCCGCTCCCCGTATGTAATTTTTTTCCCACTTTAAGAGATCTTGGATTGTTTTAAAAGTTCATAAATGGAGGGCACCCCGATTTCCATCATATATCAACATAAAATTCTCTCCAAATTATTTATTTTATAAAAAAAATTTACATTCATATCACACAATTTTTATGTAATTATATATCTAACATTAAAAATTTCATATTCATTATTATTGTCAAAAAATTATCCATGAACATGTGTACTTTACTTTTATTTAAAAAATTGTAGTAGGGATATACTTAGGTGGGGATGTATACTTAGGTAGAATGTATTGAATATATCATATTTATAAGTTCTCCTTATTTTAATACAATGCATGGAAATCTGAAATCAATGTTCTTGGATTTATAAAAGGCAGTTGCCTAGACGGAAATGTTTAACAGATGATTTGTCTCGACTACTTATCTATCATTCTGAGATGAACTTTAAACATAAGAAGATAAGTGAACCTAAAACCAAATGATTTTAAGAGTGTTGCTTGGACGGAAATGTTTAACAAATGATTTATCTCAACTACTTATCTATCATTCTGAGGGGAACTTTAAACATGAAAAGATAAGTGAACCTAAAACCAAATGATTTTAAGAGTTAACATATATCAGAGATGAATTATTAAATTTATTGAGCATTGCAAAGTGTGGGTTAGCCTTGATTATGCTGACTACACACGCGGGCTTACTAACAATGGAGAGACAAGGGTAGATAGATTATATATCAAGATGAATTACTAAATTTATTGAGCATTGCATAGTGTGGGTAGCCTTGATTATGATGTCTACACACACAGGCTTACTAACAATGGAGAGACAAGGGTAGATAGATGGTAGATCTCGAGGAGCATATGAAAGTATGAAAATTTTGAGTAAGACATCAATTTTTTTTATATTCTTAGAACTTGCATGTTTTTTTAGAATTGTTATGTGATGGTAAATTTATTGTGATAAAGTGATGTATTAATGTGTTAGTGTTGTATGATAATCTGACACACACATATAAAAAAAGAGTTAGTAGAAGAAATAATGAAAGTTTTTTACATTGATTGAATAAAAATTACGAGATGCAACCCGGTTGAAATGATTTCACTATGTCAATATAGGTTATAAGACTTTGCCGGCTCTTGAATAGCCGTAAATAATATTACATAAGTAGGAGCTATCAGTGTGACTCTCGCTAGGGGAGTGGCAAAATACTATGGAGAAGTGGCGGCGATCAGTTGTTGTGAAGGAAGATCGAAGGATGAATTCATGTGCTAGAAAATATATTGCTAGTTTTGTGGTAGTGGTGGCCAAACAAATGTGGTTTAGTGGTGATGACGACGATGACCGGACAACGAAGGTCTGTCAATGGTGTTGACTTGACAGGGGTGGTCCGACAATAATGACGATGGCGGACGAGCAGTGATGTTTTGGTGGGGGTGGTGGCCATATGATAGTGATCTAATGATGGTGGTTGCTCGACAATTGTGGTTTGGTGATGGTGTCGGGTTGATGGTACTATTCCGATAATGACGATGATGATTGTCGAACAACGACATGATAGTGATGGTCCCACGACAATTACGTGGTTGCCTAACAATAGTGGTCCAATAATGGAGATGATGGTGATGATCGGGAAACGATACTCCAATGATAGCGGCGACCAGATGATGGTTATTTCAGTAGTGGTGATGGTGGTGGGCATTTGTAGTCCAGCAGTGGCTTGATGGTGGTAGTGCAGCGGTGGCTAGATGAAGGTGGTCCGATGGTGGTAATGGTAGTGGAGCTCTAGAACCCTCAAGAGCTTGGAGCTCTCTCTGTATTCTCTACTAGGTTGAGGTCCCCCTTTATGAAGGGAGTCAAGGTTTATTTATAGATTTTGGCTGTAACATCCTTCATAAATACGATATGAATCTGGATCACTTCATCAGACAACGCAAAGTGATTACCATGATTAGATGTAGTCTTATAAGCATTTGAATGCATTAATGATGTTGGAATTAACTGATCTTAAGTTCATTGGATTTGTATCGTCGAGACGACTGATGTAACTATAAACTTATCATATTTATAGATCATTTAGTCTCCCAAACTATGTTCTGGGCCTTCTCTTTATGTTATATGCTCTGGGATCACTTCATCTTAGATCAGATCATATTTCATATCAATTGGTTTGACTCATTAAGACATTTCATTTTATCATAAATTACAGTGTACGTATTTCCAAATTTGGTTTTTGAAGCTTCCATTTCAAACGTGCATCGAGATTTGTGTGGATCAATATCACTTTTTAAAGATGTGTCAATTGCCCTCATTTTCAAACATTGATTTCAGAATATTGAAAATATATCTCAAGTTGTCAAAAAATTAAGTGACATAAAATAATAACTTGTGCAACTATTCTCTTGATGTTTAGCTCAAACCTTCTCTCAGGATTGTGACCCCAATAAGTCTTCTCAATATTAATTTGAAAGTACCAAATTTGAGTTGGAAATGTGCCAAAATGGCTTAGAAGATTAAAAAATGCTGAAAATGGTCTAAATAGGTTATCGCCTCAAGCGGCAGCGATGATGAGATTATAAACATGATAACAGTGCACGCGCCTTTATGCTTGTGTGCTCATGTGATCACAGGTAGATGAGTTTGCACACTTGGATGCACGTGCATGTAGGAGTGCTCGCGCTTGAGAAAACACAAGCTGATTGAGGGTTGTTTTTACACGTGTTGATTACACATGCACACCTGTTGAAGGATTTCAAATTTTTTTTATTTTTTTCCATTTTTTTTACTTTTTCCTTTTTCACTATTTGTAAAAGGAAAAATATATTTATTATAAAAACTTAAGATCCTTCAAAAAATTTCTCTCTTTTCTCCCTAATATCCCACCTTGGCAATTATGGAGGGCACACTTCTCCTCCCTCTAGCTCATATTCCACATGATGAAGTTTTGACTTTCCCTTATTTTGAAAGAGTTGGTTACTTTGATTGGACATGAAAAACTTGAAGAATGTTAAGACCCTTGATCTAATAGAGAAACAACTATATTCCTTTAAAAAAAAGAGTTGACTAGCCTTGTTAGATAAACTGAGTTGGCAGCAATCAAGGACGGTAGTCATATGGCGAGAAAAAATTCTTCTCTTGAAAAAGGTGTTAGATTGACCTTATCAAACAGGCAGGATTGGAGGCAATCAAGATTTATATTCCTACGGCGAGGAAACTATCTTCTCTTAAAAAAGGTGTGGACCGACCTCATCGAAAAGACAGAGTTGGAGGCGATCAATGCATATAGTACTATAGTGAGATGACTGTCTTAACTTGAAAAAAGCGTTGACTGATCTCATCAAATAGAACTGGTTGGAGGAGATCATCAAGGCCCATTTTTCTACATTGAGAAAAATATTTTCCCTTGTAAAAAGGTGTAGACCAACATCATCTAATAGGTCATGTTTAGGAGCAACTAAGGCTCGTAGTCCTACGATGAGGTAACTATCTTCTCTTGGATGAATTGTTTGACTGACCTCATTGGACATACTCGGTTTTGAGATGATCAATGCCAGTGGTCCTAGGCAAGGCAATTGTCTTCCTTAAAAGCGGAATTAATTGCCCTCCTTAGACAAACCAGGTTTGGAGGCGATCATGGCTTGTAATCTTATGATGAGACAATTGTCATTCCTTGGAAGAGGTGTTGACTACACTCATTAGACAGACCAGGTTTGGATGAAATCAATCCTTAAGGTCCTTTGATGATGCTTGATCAGCTGTGGGTTTGATAATGACACAAATAATAGTGGCAGAGTAACGATGATAATGATCTATCAATGACAATAGCTAAGTGATGGTGTTTTGACACCTATGACAGAGCTCAAAAACCTTTAAGAGGTTAGAACTCTTTTTGCTTACTTTTTTAGATCTAGGTCTTCTTTATTGAAGATAGTGGGGATCTATTCATAGATATTAGGTGTGAAATCCTTCATAAATACTTTATGAATTCAGATTACTCTGCTGGCCCAGAGTGATTTCTTTAATCAAATAAAGTTTTATGAGCATTTTAATCGATTAATGATGTTGAAGTTATGTGGTATTAGGCTCATTAGATTTGTCTCATTGAGGTGGTCGATTTGATTATAAACTTGCTAGATTTAAAGATCATTTAGCCTTTAAATGTATATTTCAAAGCTTCTCTTTATGTTTTAAGTGTATGATTTGGGCATATTTGGGCTCAACTTAGATCTTTTTTTTGTCATTCAGTTTATCTAACTAAGACACTTTATTTGATCATAAAATAATGTCTAAGTATGTCCAAATTTGAATTTTGAAGCTTCTGATTCAAATTTGTATCAAAATTCATGTGGACCAATATGATTTTATTGAGATGTATCAGTTTACCTCCTACTTTCAAACATCAAAGTTTCTAATATAAATGATAGAAATGTGAAAATATATCCCAATTTACAAAAAAATTGATGAAATAAAATAACAATGCTAAAAAAATTATTATGGTGCAGCCACTC